AATGTTTCTAGTGAGGAATGAACGCTCTGAAAAAAAAAAAAAAAGATAAAAATATCCCAGGAAGGAGGGGGCGTTCCTGCCGGCAGGCACGCAGAGCCCCCTGCTGGAAAGGCCAGCACTAACAGTGCAGAACACGTCGCCCGAAATAGATGCAGTCAGCACAGGAGGGAGGAAGTTGCAGGTGGGAAGTGTCAGGGAAGTCTGCATTTAACATTGTAATTGGCTGGAGGAAAAGCTGAGAGTTACCAGGGTCGGAGGGTCTGGGATGCGCCAAAGACAGCTCCGGAAGCTGGTACAAATGAAGGCGGCAGGTGACTCGAATAGGAAGCAAAGTGTGAAAGTAAAGCTAGCGGCCAAATCACAAACCAAAGAGGTACAAGTGTCAGCAGTTCTCAACCTGACTAATGCTGCGCCCCTGTAACACAATTCCTCATATTTGACGGCCCCAACCATAAAGCTCTTTGCGTTGCTACTTCATAACTGTAGTCTTGCTACTATTACGATTCGTAATGTAAACGCCTGACATGCAGATGGTCTTAGGCGACCCCTGTGAAAGGGTCGATGGACACCCCAGCCCTCTCTGAAAGGGGTCGCAACCCATAGGTTGAGAACCACAGCTGGTAGAGGCTAAATGAATCCCTCAGTGTGGGAACAGCAAAGAAACTCCAAGGGACAACAAGCTTTACCAACATTTTCTCCAAGAACTCGGAGGAACTTTTCACATGTTTCAAAAGTTCGAACTAAACAAATTCAAACTTGTAGAGAAGTTCCTGGCTAGGAACCTATAGTCACCTTGTAGCTACTATCCCCCTGGCTTATTTATGAAAAGATCAAGAGATTTGGCTTCCTGACAACTACAGAACCTCGGAGATATCACTATTTGAAATCAGCTGCTGTTACTACTAGACCTCAACAGATCTCAAGCACTCTGTTTTTGCTACAGGCGAGGACAATGGGTTCAAGTGTTATTTCAGTTGTGACTATAATAAATTGCCTAGACATAATAGAAGCTTAATCCATGTTTGGAAGCAAATGAATGAGTCATTAAATCAGGCTTATAGGAGGCCTATAATTTGGGAGGTCTCAGAAGAGTAATTCACTTATATATTCATCCACTCTTGCCTTGCAATTATTATGTCTTCTGCCATGGGGATTTGAGAAAGCTTATGATAAAACATGCACCCAAATAGAAAACATAAGTAATAAATAAAGCCAGCATCACGGCAAATACAAGTGGGTGGAATGGACTGAGATACACAAGCAAAAACACAGCATCTAATTATCTAAGCCCAGCTACAAATCTGTACTGGATTGTCTACCGGAAGAAAAGAGAGCCAAGCATGATTTTCTTGACTAACACTGGCAAATGATTGTGGTTTCTCGAGTTTTATAGGAAATTAACTTTAAGATAGAGTTTTGATCTGCTGTCTTGTTCTTGGAGCATTATGGGGTTGTGGTAAACAGAACCCTAGCTACTATTCTACAGATTCTACAGCCAAGGCGTTAGAGCTTTCCCACAGCTATTTGCTGTAGTACAAACTCTAGTATGACCTGCATAGCATAGCTCACTGAAGGCAATCTTATTAGACACCAAGGAAATACTGTTCAGCTGGAAACTCTCTAAACGTGAATGGAATCAAAGAATGCATCTTCAAAATCGAGGGAAGCACACAGGCCCCCAACAGTCCTCTGCTGGCATCACCTCCTCGAACCAGACATTCAAAAACAGGTGGAGAACAGATCACTGGCTTTATATTCTCTGCTAAGGCCTGCAGTGTTGTTGTTCTATGCTGTTGTTAGGTGGTAACGTGTGCTTTAGTTATCAAATGAAATCTCTTCCATTAGTTTTTATTTTTATGGTAAAGCGAGGCAGGCACTTGACCAAAATCATCTTTAGGATGGATAACCAGCTAAAATGTCCCGAGTTAAAACACCAGTGTTATTATTATGAGTACTCGTGACCATTGGGGTTTATGGGGTTCATCAAAGTAGTTCATGTTCAGGATCTTTCATGCAGCTGCAGCTAGACAGTGGTTGGGCAGGAATCACTGAAACTGGACAGAACCACTCACTCACATGCCTCCTGACACAATAAATAGGCTTTCCTCCCTCCTCCTCACTTCTCCCTGTCTCGCCACCTAGAGCTGTGTTGCTCTAAAAGTGAAAATTAAATACCTATAGCATTTGGGCCATTAGACATTTTGGGGTTAATTGATTATAGCTGCTCGCCAACCTTAACTAATGCACCTATACCTTGCTCTCCCCTACAGACTTCAGGCATCTTTAAGATGTGCTACATATGAAAGAGGTGAAAAGTTGAAAATATAATGGTAAGATTAGCATATATATGCACATGCAAAAATAAATAGTTTGGGATAGTATAAAGTACAAGCGTAAGTCTTCTGCTTCCATGATTGACCAACTGGTAGCTAGCTCTGCACCTACTACACTTATTTTTAGCTATTTCTATCTTAATTTTCTTGTTATTGCTACAAAACATCTTCTATTTACAGTTTTTTAAATTTATTTAACCTAGTGGCTTCCAACTATGAGTGATCAGTAGTTACCAAGTCGTTTTCAGTCTAGTGTTTGTTCAGGTTATTTTAGCAAACTAGTATGGGCAGTGTGGTTTAGACAGGAAGCATTTAATTCTTAGAGTTCTAGAACCTGAACAGTCAAGATGAAGGTGCTAGAAGATTCATTTTGGTGTCAGATGAGGGCTTGCTTCCTGGTTCATAGATTGTCATTGTCTCTGTGTGGTCTTAAGGCAGCAGAGTTTGGAATTCTTTTATAACAGCACTGACATCACTCATAAGACTGCGCTCATGAACTAACCACTTCTCAGGGGCTCCATTTCTAACTCCATCCCACTGAGGCTTAGAAGCCAACATATGAATTTTAGTTGCATGGGCATAGATCTTCAATCCACTGTCCTAAGGCAGAGGAAATAAGGTGGTGTCAGAAGGCTGCCACACTTCATAACTACACGAAGGAGAAGAGTTTGATGTGGGGCAAACAAAACCTGTACTCAAATTTGTGTGAATTTTCACTTTGTACTTTCTGAGATGGAGTGATGCTTCAACTCCATCTTGCCATGGGTTCATCTCTAGAAATATTTTCAGGTGTGCCTGAGACTGCAGGATTGTAAGGGCAGAGAGGAAGCACAGCAGTGTTAAATACCTTGTCACTCTTGGAAAGTGTCGGATACTTTATAGACACAATTCCATCCCTTTCTGCAGTGACCCAGACAAGGCGGCTTGTGAAAGGACAAAGTCTGATAACTTGATAACCTGTCATTTCAGTTTCTTTCCCTGTTGCTATGGTAAACCACCCTGGGGAAAAGCTATTTAGGAAGGAAGTGCTTATTCTGGGTCACTGTCCCATGTCCATCAACATGGGGAAGTCACAGGATCTTAATCACATCGCATCTGTACCCAGGAAGTAGAGAGGGACGTATGAGTATACTCGGTGGCTTTTTCCTCTTATGCAGTCTGGAACCCAAGTCAGAGAAAGGGTGTCATCTGCATCTAGTGGCGGTCTTCCTAACTCCATTAACGTGATCAACATATTCATCAAAGCATACCCAAGACTCCAAGTAATCCCTTACAGGTGTGCCTGGAGGCTTAGTTCCCAAGTGGTTCCAGATCCTGTCAAGCTGACAGCTAATAGATGATGTTGTCTAAGGTCTCAGAGAAGCGATATGTCATCTTCATACACCACTACATTTGATGGCAGATGCTGATTAATCTTTTGTCTGCAAAAGCTGATATTCATTTTGTGAGCTAGTTAAGGTCAAACCACTCTGTGGGGTGACTTGGGTGAGCAAAGTGTCTTGCACATCTAATTTTGTAAACAGATCTTAAGTTACTAATTAAGCAGCTCCACCTGAGCCAGAGCCTCTTGCTTCAACCCATGGGGGGAAGTCAGTGAGTGAGAGAGGGCATTTGCTTCTAGATCCCTGGAAGTCACCCTTAGGAACCATATTAAAATCGTATTTGAATTGTTGTCAGTTTACCACAGCAATGGCCTGAAGCCCAAAAGTGAGTAAAATAGTCCATCTCAAATAACGATCAGATCAATAGAAAATAACTTCAAATATAATTCACCAGAGTTCTTGACAAAGTAGTTCAAATTTTGTATTATTTTAGAAATAATCATTTTAATGCTGTGTAGACATCAGGTATTAGTCCCAAGAAGATTGTGGTCCTGTAGGGAAAGGACAGTTCCTATATAGGAAAAAATAGATCTTTTTTATTGTTGTCATTCTCTGACTAAGGTCCAAGCCAATTTTTGTGCTGATTCATGTCACTAAGCTGATGACATCATCTAAACCCCACCACCGCATGTTCTTTAGTGAATCCTTCCTCCTGTGAATATTTCCACCATTGAGTTTTCCAGACATAAATAAAAACAGAAACTCTTATTTGGTGGTGACAACTCTCATGAATCCTTCACTGATATGGCTGAACCAAGAGAATCTGTCTTCTACAGGATATGCTACCACTGGTCAATGGATAGGTCATGTTTTCACACTAAGAAAAAAATGTCCCATTGCTACTTGATCTTCGACTTTAGATAAAATTGGATGAATTCCTAATTCATCAGTTGTTTAGGCTTATATATATATTATATACATTATAAATGTAAAGGAAGAGGGAGATGGGGATATAACAGAACATCATTCCAGAACAAATAAAGATTCGAAGTAAACCTACCAGAATACCAGTTGGGAACCTCATTTAAAACAGAAACTTGGGAGGCAGAGTTCCAGGCCAGCACAGTCTACATAGTGATTTCTAGGTCAACCAGATCAACCAAGTGAGACCCTGTCTCTAAAGAAATGCACAAACAAGTAAATAAATAGAAATCAACTGGGTGGTGGTGCACATCTGTAATTCCAGTACTAAAGAGGAGGCTGAGAACAGCCTGGGCTGCACAGTGAATTTAAGGTTAACCTGGGCTACATAGTGAGATTCTGCCTCTTAAAAGTAGGTATTCCTGTGCTCGATTCGGCAGCACATATGCTAAAATTGGAATGATACAGAGAGGGTTAGCATGGCCCCTGTGCAAAGATGGCATGCAAATTCATGAAGTGTTCCATATTCTTTAATTAAAAACAAGTAGATACTCATTTCTAGTTTTAGCTGGTTTAAAGGTTTGTACCGCTGCCTCTGGATAAGCATGCTGGCTTTGTTCCATTCCCCTCTTTTCCATCTCTGACACCCCTGTCATCTTTTTCAAAGGCAGTCTCAGTATGTATACCCTAGCTGGTCTCACTGCTAAGCCCAGTCTAGCCTCAAACTTGTAATTCCCCAGATTGAGTTTCCTGAGTACTAGAATTAAATGTCTGTGCCATCACATTTGACAACCTGAATATAGCAGCTCACACACACACACACACACACACACACACACACACACACACACACACACTTCCAAGTGGCTAGGGCTCCATCCAAATCAATTAAGTCTTAAATCAGAATTTATAGTGTAAGAGTCTGACAACATGTTTTTTGTTGTTTAATCTCAGCAGGGCAAGGTGACATAAACCTTTAATCGCAGCACCCAGAGGCAGAGGCAGGTGATTCTCTGTGAGTTCAAGACCAGACCAGCCTACACATCAGAACCATGTCTGCCTCCATGCCACCATGCTTCCTGCCATGAAGATAATGGACTAAATCTTTGAATTGTAAGTCATCCCCAATTAATGTTTTCCTTATAAGAGTCGTTGTGAGCCGGGCGTTGGTGGCGCACGCCTTTAATCCCAGCACCCGGGAGGCAGAGGCAGGCGGATCTCTGTGAGTTCGAGACCAGCCTGGACTACCAAGCGAGTTCCAGGACAGCCTCCAAAGCCACAGAGAAACCCTGTCTCGAAAAAAAAAAAAAGAGTCGTTGTGGTCATGGTGTCTCTTCACAGCAATAGAAAACCTAAGGCACTAATACAAACCATGGTATGAACCTAGCTCCAAAAGATTGTACTTTTTTTTTTAATTTAAAGATGTATTTATTTTGTATTCAGTGTTCTGCCTGCACATATGCCTTCAGGCCAGAAGAGAGCATCAGATCTCATTACAGATGGTTGTGAGCCACCATGGTGGTTGCTGGGAATCCATCTCAGGACCTCTAGAAGAACAGTAGTGCTCTTAACCTCTGAGCCATCTCTCCAGCCTAGATTGTACCTTCTTTAAGAACAGAGATGGAGCCAGGTGTTGGTAGTGCACACCTTTAATCCCAGCACTCGGGAGGCAGAGGCAGGTGGATCTCTGTGAATTTGAAGCCAGCCTGGTCTACAGAGCGAGTTCCAGGACAGCCTCCAAAAACAATACAGAGAAACCCTGTCTCAAAAACACAAAACAGACATGGAGTGGAGACATGGCTAGGTGGTTAAGAGCACTCGTTCTTACAGAAAACCCTGGTTTGATTCACATCACTCACATAGGGGCTCCTATCCATCCATAACACCAGTCCCAGAGTCACATGATACCCAGACATACATTGCAGTAAAACACTCATACACATAAAATAAAGGAAATAAATCTAAAAAATTAAAACTCTATTACCATGCACAAAACTTAAGTCCAAATGGGTCAAAGACCTCAACATCAATCCAGCCACACTGAATCTCTTAGAGGAGAAAGTGGGAGGTACCCTTGAACAAATTGGTACAAGAGACCACTTCCTGAACATAACACCAGTAGCACAGACACTGAGATCGGCAATTAATAAATGGGACCTCCTGAGGAGCTTCTGCAGGGAAAAGGACACAGTCAACAAGACAAAACGACAGTCCACAGAATGGGAAAAGATATTCACAAGCCCCACATCTGACAGAGGGCTGATCTCCAAAATTTACAAAGAATTCAAAAAGCAAGTCTCTAGAACACCAAAGGATCCAATTTAAAAAATGGGGTACAGAACTAAATAGAGAATTCTCAATAGAGTGTCCAAATTGGCCAAGAGACACTTGAGAAAGTGCTCAACATCTTTAGCCATTAGGAAAATACAAATCAAAACAACTCTGAAATACCATCTCACTCCTGTCAGAATGGCTAAAATAAAAAACACTAATGACAGTTTATGCTGGAGAGGATGTGGAGAAAGGGGTACACTCCTCCACTGCTGGTGGGAATGCCAACTTGTGCAGCCACTTTGGAGATCAGTATGGAGATTCCTCAGAAAAATGGACATCAGCCTACCACAAGATCCAGCAATTCCACTCTTAGGCATATGCCCAAAAGATGTACCCTCATACAATAAGGACATCTGCTCAGCTATATTCATAGCAGCATTTTATTTGTAATAACCAGAACCTGGAAAGAACCTAGATGCCCCTCAACTGAAGAGTGGATAGAGAAAATGTGGTACATTTACACAGTGGAGTACTACTCAGCAGAAAAAAATTGAATCTTGAAATTTATAGGCAAATGGATGGCACTGGAAGAAACCATACTGAGTAATGTAACCCAGTCACAAAATGACAAGCATGGTATGTACTCACTCACATTTGGATTTTAGACATGGAGCAGGGTATTGCCAGCCCACAATCCCACCGCCAGAGAGTCTGGGGTGCAGGGAGGACCCTAAGAGAGATATGCATGGTAACCCAGAGAAGGGTTAGGGGACGTGATCTCCTAGTTGGATTGAGGGGGGAGAAGGGGAGGGTAGAAGTAGATGGGAGAAAGAGAGGGAGAAAAGAGGAAGGGAGAGGAGGACATGGGAGAGCAGGAAGGATGAGCCAGGGTAAGAACAGAGGAGAAAAGGACGGGAGATACCATAAAAGAGGGAGCCATTATAAGTTGGAGGAGAGATCTGGCACTAGTGAGATCTTCACAGATCTACAAGAATGACATCAACTGGCATTAAGGCTACCTTAAATGCCCTCCCATGATAATGAGAATGATGACTACCTTATATGCTATCCTAAAACTCTCATCCAATGGCTGATGGAGGTAGAGGCAGACACCCACAGTTGTGAACCAAATTGAACTCCTGGAACCCAGTTGCAAAGAAGAGTGATGACCAAAGGAATCAAGATTGGGCTGGCAAACCCACAGAGGCAGCTGACCTAAACAAGGGGAACACATGGACCCCAGACTGATGACTGAGGAGCCAGCATGGGACTGATCCAGACACCCTCCCACTGAACCTGGGTGACAGAGAGGAGGCCTTGGCAATCTGTGGGGCCTTGGAGAGTAGAGTAGTATTTATTCCTGGCATACAGAGGGACTCTGGGAACCCATACCACGTGGAGGGATGCTCTCTCAGCCTGGACACATGGGGAAGAACCTGGGCCCTTCCCGGGATGATGTGACAGACTGTGAAAATCCCTCATGGAGGCCCTTGCCCTCCCTGGGGAACGGAGAGGGGGATGGAGTGGGAATGAGGGGTTGGAAGGATTGGGGGGGTGGGGGAGGAGGGAAGGGACAGGGAACTGAAAGTGACATGTGTAAAAAGTTAAATTAAAAAAATATATAAAGAAGAATAGAGATGGGCCTGGAGAGACGGCTAAGCAGTTAAAAGCACTCAAGAGGACCAGGTTTGATTCCCAGCACCCACACGGCAGCTTGCAACTGTTACTACAGTTCCAGGGGATCCCTTGCTCTCTTCTGGGCTCTTCAGGTATCAGACACACTGGTGGTGCACACACATACATGCAGGCAATATACCCATACACATAAAAACAAAGCGACAAAAAAAAATGGAGGGAGAAGGACTGGGGAGATGGCTTAATGCATAAAGCACACGCAATCGAGCTTGACAGTCTGAGTTTGATCCTTACAGCCCACGCGGTCGGAGGACAGACCTCACTCTCACAAGTTATATTCTGACCTCCACGAATTTCCTCCTTTCCAACATGCACTACACAAAACAAATTAATACAAAAGACAAAGTCTGTACCCTGCCCCCAACACCATCAATGAGGCTCTGTCCAGACAGAAACAGTTGAATTACATCATAGCCGCACATCCAGCTAGCATCATCTCTGTCTCTTCTGAGACCTTCTGAGGTGCTAACTGCAGTTGGGAATTAATCATTATTCCAACTGAGCCAGAGGCTTATTTTCTCCTCAGTCTTCTCATTATTAAGTTTGCTTGAATTGGTTAGTTGTAGGCACCATCAGTGCAAATAGTCATTCACTAATACACTACACGCAGGGAGATTTTTACTATGCAGCCTTGCGCATGAATTTATTTGTGCAAAAATCAGTTAACTACTTACTGTAAAATTCCATTTCTTTTTTTTTGTTTGTTTTTGTTTTTTCGAGACAGGGTTTCTCTGTGGCTTTGGAGGCTGTCCTGGAACTCACTCTGTAGACCAGGCTGGTCTTGAACTCACAGAGATCCGCCTGCCTCTGCCTCCCGAGTGCTGGGATTAAAGGCGTGCACCACCAATGCCCGGCGTAAAATTCCATTTCTTGTTTCTTTGTTCTAGCTTACTTTGATGATCTCAGGAGTTTTAAAAGCAAGCTGTTTTTTCCCTTTCGTGCTCCGAAACCTAATGTAAAAACTGTGAAGAGTTCTAGTTCTGTCCTTTCCAGAAAGTCACCAATCTCAGAAGAGATTGTTAGTAAGGACTTGGTGTGAATGCCCTTGAAAGTGCTAGCTCTCCTCTGCTTCCTTGTACTTACAAAAGTATTAAAGTCGTTTCACCAGGGTGAAAATAATTCAGCGAATCATTTTTTATTCTATTACCGTGAGATGGTATAATTCTGGTTCCCAGAAGCTGGATATGGCAGATTTTTAGTGAAAGTGTCTCTCCCATCATAGTTAGAGGAAAGAGCTCCTGTCTTTGTGTTGGAGCCAGAAAGACTCAGCTGGAGTCTCATGAAGATAGGACAGGAGTGCTAGGCAGAGAGACCCTGACACTCCCGACCCTGTGGGTGGATCAGTTGCTGGGATGCTAGGAGCCCCCAGGTGGAGCCAGCATGGGGATGCTGGGAGCCCTCCAAGGTGGATCAGATGCCTGGGATGCTGGGAGACCCTACCTCCCACCCTGTGGATCTGCTTCTGCGGATACTGGGAGCTCCCACTGGGTGAATCCGGTGCTGGGAAGCTAGCCTGTCTGGACCTGAGGATATCACAGCTTTTTCCTAATTGGCATTCTTAA